ATAATATTTTTTGTAATAACACTACTTATGAAGCTGAAAAGGGCCCATTCTTATGTAATTTTGGTCAGCGAGTCCAATTTTGGCGTGCACTTTGTGCGCAAATCAATGTCAGGGGGGGTAAACAGCATTTAAAATCTTATTTTGCCACTGCACGCATCGTTCCGAAGACGCACAAGGAAGTAAACATGACAGTCTGATGCTCTATTGCACTTGAAAAGTCTCTGCGAAGAAACCGTCTCAATACAACATCACAAACCTACTCTAAATGCTTACCATTGATTTGACCGAGGAGGACTGGAACCCATAAAGCAAGTAAACAGCCTTAATGACCAGTTTCTCAAACAGAACTTCAATGTACATCTTCACTTTGCTCTAGAGTCCTGAAAATTGACAAATATCAAGCTCAACACCATTCACATATCAACTGTTTAAGCCAATAAGCCTTCCTTTCCTTGACCTACCTGACATTTCACCTATTTTTGCGTCTATTTTTGGTCTTCCTGAAAATTCTTTGATGCTTGCAATGCATTCTGGGAAATAAACCTTGTCATCGAGCATTCTTTCCTACTGTCTTTTGGTTTAAAAATATATTAAGTGTCAAGCCCCTCCTCAATTCTACCAAAATTTTGTTTTCGGTGTGTTATTTCATAATGAAAAGTCATAAATATTTACATGGCAGATGAGGAAAATTGCGTTTGGTCAAGCTAACACACTTTTCAGAATACATTCATGGAAAGTGTGATCCTCTCCTGGTTTCTTTCAGAAGATTAGCTCTTCTACATTTCAAGCTTCATGATGCTATCCAGTAGTGACCAAAGACAATMATTTCGAAGCAATCGTCTAAGGCTTGACACTCGTACTAAAAATTATGAGCAATGATCGACCAAGATTGTAAACGTGCATCCGTTACATTTCGAATAAAATCAAAGTGGATTTTAAAAGAAACTGTCTTTCGATTCACYAATTCCGTGAAGTTTCTTTGAACTCTTTGATCTGCTTTCTTGAAAGGTGAAAAAGTGGTACAGGAGTATAATATCTAGCGAACAACCAGCGCAGACTTGCTGTTTTCTATAGTTGGTCTTCCTGTGGTGAATCCAAATATGGTCTAAAGGAGCGCTCGCGTCGTCGTAAAATCATAAAGGCGGGAAATTCAGCCAAAAACACGAAAATCTGTCCTAGACTATCCTAAAATACTAGCTGGATGTCCGTGAAAGAACTCGTTAAAACGAAAAACAAAAAATAGCGTTCTTGCAAATTGATAAAAGTAAACTAAAGAAGTATCTTAACAGATAGTTTTTGAAAAAGGTAAGATGTTTATTAGGCTAGAAGCTTTGTCGTACTACAGTCTACATTGTAGTAACTTAAAGCTTATATCGTGACTGTTTGCATGATATTGGATGTCCATATCTATAGTAGGGCTATCTTTTCCCTGGAGGATTTCAAATAAATGTTCCCTCTACTACCTAGGCTCATGATTACTTTCGGGTTCTGTCAATGTGTAGTGTTATTCAGCTATATTTTTTTGACCGATTGGGAGTGATGTACTTATTAAAAACGTAAGCTTAAGCTTATGTTTTATAGAAAAAAATATTCTTGAAGTGAGTTATGGACTATAGTCAAAGRCTATAATTTAGGCTAACTATTAAGTTACTTAATTAAGTATATCTAAAACAATAAAACCGAAAWTTAAACTAAAGTGTGTACCTTGATTTAAGCATAGTCTATGCTGTACAGTTTATTGCAGTTAGAGTACAAACACTAGAACTGTGCAACATAAGCTTAAATACCACTAAATTCTGCAACATATTCTATTGTTTAAATTGTCCCTTTTCCTACACAAATGTTTAATTGCCTTTAGATAAGGTAATTTTAATAGTAGAGTGCTCGCACTTAAACCGTGAAACAAATAGTACTAATTACTACTAAATAGTGTTGATCATACAATAGGAAACAAAAGAATTTGTATAATTTATCACCTATTTTGTAGTATTTATATTTCACGCATTTAGTGCGAGCACTCTATAGCTTATTCTCAAGCACCCTTTCACTAACCATCCTCCTAAATGTACCGTAAATAAGTAAATGAATGATATCATACATAAAAAAACATTAAAATCAGCTTTATCATACAGTATCAACTGAATCAATTGATTTTCTTTCTCTCTATCCATTTGCAGATAATTTGGATATATTGTATCTTTCAAGATAATTTTAATAAAGCTAAGTAMATTTTGTATTCATTTTATTATTGTAWATTATTCAACATATTTTGCCTTGAATTTTCAGCATTTATTATTATATTTGTTTATAATCTTGAAATGAAGCAAAAAGGTAAGAACATAGTGTTCAGCTGTTCAATTCGTCACATTCATTGTGTGATTTCTTTGTTATTGGTCATTTATACTTATTGCAACAAGCTTTTTTATTGTTATAATTTCCTTTTCTTCCTTATTTATATGACATGTTTTTTTAATATTTTATGATACATTTACTCTGCTTTTTAGTAAACAACAAATTTTTGTAAATAATAAAGATATAAAGATTGTATTATTMTTATTTTTTTGTAAATGCCATAAAGAAATATTATAATAACTAATAACAATGATAACAATATACAATCGAATTAAGAAATTTTTTAAAATTATTGTCAGAGTGAGTTAATTTAAAAATCTTTCAGTACAGTTTTGGCACATGCTAAAATATATAACTTGAGGAGACTTCCTTGAAAAAATACATTGGGTTGATATCAAAAGATCACTAATTCTGGAATTTTCTATTTTCAGAAACAAAGTGGACCAAAACAGTTGATCTCTTTCTGAAAGAAGTTCTGGGTGAAGGTAATAACAGTATATTGAGTAAGGCTTCACTTTTGAACAGGTGGAAAGAAAGGAATCCAAAGGTAAACTTTCCACTGGATGCATTCTATGCCCAGTACATAAAGCTATCTAGAAGGAATGATAAAAAATATCAGACTGTTTGGACTGAAAAGATGGTTTGTGACCTGTTGATGTGCAAAGAAAAAGCAATACAGGAGCAAATCTCAATGGAAAAAAGAAATATTAAGGTATCATATATGAATATCATGCATTCCCATTGGTTGAAACTCTATCCTGATAGTGATTTAAGTGCTAAGAACTTGCAGACTAGATGTTATTTGGTTGATAAAGGAAAGAGATGCAGAAAGGGTAAGGTTAAAGGTACGTACGTGTATTTTCAAATTTAATGCAGTATCAACCGTAATATTTTATATTTATTACATGAATTATGAGTGATAAAAGTTTAAAAATTTCATTTATTTTATAGCTCTTATTTCCTGTTAAGTCATTAAAAAAATGAAAGATGCCTATTACAGATGGGCATAGCTATGCATAACAATTTACACAAAATGTACATGTGAAATTCTAAAATATTCANATAACTGGAGAAGGTATTGTTCAGTTCAAGTATGTTTTAACATCCTATATAATATTTTTTTAGGACGACAAGCTGGAGCAACTGGTGGTATGAGTTTAAATGTGTCCGGTAGGCTCGTTGGGAGAACTGAAAGTGAGGGTCAATGTTTCAATGACAATCAACAGTCTCAGTCTTATCTTGATAAAAAGTTTGCAAACATGCCCAATGACCAAGCACTGTTGTATTCTATGAGGATGGCAAATGAGCGTCATGCCTGTAAACCCCTGTTTAATTCCTTGTGCTATAATTGTGGTACTATGTTGTTTGGAAATATTTCTGAAGGTCACAAATTTAAGGTAGTCCCCTCTTTTATGGGTTTGAATGATGAAGATGCAAATGTTCAGTTTCTTTATGAAAACTTGAATCTTCCTTACAAGTCAGAAAATGGTGGTATTTGGTATTCCTGTCGGTTATGTAAAGGTGGTACTGATGTGTGCACTTTTTCTTGTGCTGATCCAAAAACAGGAGCAATGAAGATTCCAGACCAATTATCAAATTTATGCAACTCTTGGGAAAAAGGTCAAGTTGCTCTTTGTGGCCTTTTCTCAACTACCTTGCGCAAGGCAAATCCATTGAAAAGATCCTGGAGGCATATTTGTGGGGAAGTGAATGTACTGCATAAGTTAGATAAGCATTATTATGGCATGTATGGATTTTTAGTATGCAAAGATAAACAAATTCCTGTTTTTGATTCAAGGGGTAGGGTTATTGAAGCCATAAGATGGCTGTACATGAATAATCCTCTTTATACTGATTTTTTTTCCAATTATGAGACACTTTTTAGGTATGATCCCACTAGGCCTGTAGTCATTGCAATGTCTAAGGATGTGACTGATGCCAAATCAAAATCCATAGAGGAGAGATTGCATAATGATGACACTGGGCTTGTGATTCCTTTCTTCTCTGAGAATCAGTTACCAACTTTAAAAGAAGGAGAAGATAATGCTGGAATCCAACATCCTGGAAGGAATGCCGGGCAGATACAAAAGGATCTTGAGAAGAAAACTAAGGTATCCCCACTTTAATACGTCATGTGCATTTCCTTTTTCATTTTAGTCTAATTGTCATATTTTTAAAAGCCTTGATATTTTTTGATAGTTTACAAATGATCCATTGTCAATAAGTATAGTTTACAACATGAGCGGCTGTGTTGTATGAGAATTACAAGATCAATCACCTGATTAAATGGACAGCCCTTATTTGAGTGATAATTCATGCATTCTTTTAAGAATAAAAAAAATTAAAATAAAAAAAAATAAAATAAAATAAAATAAGTTTTATAAGGATAATTATTTTTATCAATTTAGGTTACATATTCTGATCCAGATCTTGAAGCAAAGGCCTGGCCTCACTTATTCCCATTTGGTTGTGGTAGTTGGAAATATGGAGAAGGAGTAGGGATGACTGACTATTGTAAAGGTCGGCTTTTGAATTATGATAATCGCTGGAGATCTGACCCTCACTGGAGTTTCTTTTGGTATGATATAATGATTAAGTCTAGAATTTTCTATTATAACAAAGTCAGGAGAGCCAGACGGAATGTTGAAAGTGGTCCTTTGACGGCTAATCAGATAAGATCAGAGAAAGAAAGCAATAATCCCTATGATGTTTATGGTAAAGATGTACCTACTACAGTCCCAGGATCAAAAGGGTTCTGGAGTAGCAGGCTCTTGGATGTACTGGCCATGAGTAGAGAGCTGGGAAAACCAGATTTTTTTATAACGTTAACTCAAAATGATGGCTGGCCAGAATTGCAAATGTATATCAAAAATGGTCCAGATAAGGTAGGTAGTAAGATGTGTCATTTTGAAGATGAGCTTGAAATGTCTAATCATCATAATCCAGCCATGGATTATCCCACAGAAACAGTGGTTGCTTTCCAGAGTAGATTCAAGCTTTTTAAGGAGAAAGTGCTGGAGAAAAATGATGGCCCTCTGGGAAATGTGAAGGACTACTGGTATAGATTTGAATACCAGCATAGAGGAGCTTTGCACATTCATATGGTCGTGTGGTGTGAAGAAAAATCTGTCCCAGTTGATGCAGTTACTGCTGAAATGCCAAGAAGTACTGACTCACAGGATAATTTTACCAATGCTTGCCGCTCATATGTACAAAAGTTCCAAATCCATGGATGTCGGCCTGAGAGATGCTTTAAAGGTGGTAACAATAAAGTCTTGGAACACTGCAAGTATGGGTTTCCATTTAAGCTACAAGAAAGTGAAGATACTGATGAAAGTGGTACTAGGCTATTGTATGTGAGGAGAAGTGAGGAAGATGTCAATGTGGTACCCTATAATCTTGCCATGATTCTTCTTTGGCAAGGTCACATCAATGTACAAAGGGTTACCTCAGGTGGTTGGGAAATGTATCTTGCAAAATATGTTGCAAAAGCAGAGCCATCTTTTGATTTAAAACTTCTCAATGATGTCTCTGATGCAGAAAGGTACCTCAGAAGTCGTATAGTGGGACGTTTGGAAGTTGATAATACACTTCTTGGTTTTCACTTGTGTCAGAGTAGTCGCACTGTTGTTTATCTTCCRACTGATATCCAACCAGAGTTTGGTATTTTGAAAAGGAAGTGCCATTTGCCTTGTGATGAAAATTCAACAAATGTCTTTTATGATTCACTTTTTGATAAATACCTTGACAGAAGTGAGGAATTGAAAGATATTTTATATCCTGATTATATAAGGAAGTATAGGTTTGTCTCTGTCAATCAGGGTCGCTCCTCTGTTATCGGTAGTTTAAATGATGATGCCGATGGTGATGATGATGATGATTATGATCCTAAAAACATGAGAAAAAATGTGACGCATGCTGCTCAGAAAAAACATGTAGATACAAAGGGAAGACAATTGGTTGAAAGAAAGCCAGGCAAGGAAGCTGTCCCACGTTGGCGATTTTATAAGCCAAATGGTGATGACCAGGAAAAATATTATGAGCAAAAATTGGTTTTGAATGTTCCTTTTACCAGAAAGGACATAGAAGACGATATTGTTTTATCAGTTAACAACAAAAGTAAAACCTTCATGGAGGAATGTATGATTCGAGGGTTGTTTGATAGTGAAAAAGATGCACTTGATACACTAAACCAAGCTCTACACCGGGGGTATTCATTAGAAAGACTTCAAAGTCTTGCCCAGTCTTTTGTAGACACTAATATGATTTCTGATAAAGATTCTGAGATGTTCATGGTTGATGCTAGAATGGTTCGTCCAGACGAACCTGCTGACATACAAGCTCAGGTAACTGATGTTACCGAAATAACTGATGCTGAAAAACTTGGGGACTTAGCAGTTAAGCAGGTTGAGGTTGATCTTGACTCTATGATCCAGTCTCTCACAAGCTCACAGAAAGCTGCATTCGATCATATTGATCAAAACTTAGCAGAACAGAACCAAATACTGTTATGCATAGTTGGTGAGGCAGGGACTGGCAAGTCATATTTGATTAAATCTGTTGTAGAGCTGATGAAGAAGCGACATGGTTCATCTGTAGCCAATTTAGCACCAACTGGAGTTGCAGCACATCTTATAAATGGCACAACTGTGCATAGTTTCTTTAAGATGAACATTGAATGTGAATCATTCCTTGAACGTGGTACTCCAGAATTTACTTTGCTGAGAAATGTTGACAATATTATTATTGATGAATTTTCAATGCTGGAGTTCAAAGTTTTCTTAGGGATGGATAAAGTTATACGACGTGTCTCTCCCCCTTCAAAGAGAAGATTGCCATTTGGCGGTAAGAATGTTATACTTACTGGTGATCCAGCACAGTTACCTGCCATAGGGAAAGATATCTATGATTCTTTCTTATTTCAGAGGTTTGCTGTCATGATGCTTAAGGAAATCGTGCGGCAAAAATGCATGTTGTTTGCAAATGTCTTACAGAAGATAAGACGGGGCATATGTGATGAAGAAGTTGAAAGTGTTTTGTCTTCAAGAGTGATTCCCCTTGAAAAACAAGATGACATAACTCTTGATAAGGGAACAATAATTGTTTCAAAACGAGTAGAAAGAGATATATGGAATCAAAAATTTCNTCTCCGAAATCTTGATATTAAACAAGGATGGGTGAATGGAACATTGGCCACAATTGTGTCCATCAATAAGGACTTCTTGATTATCAAACGGTTGAACAGCGATAAGAGAATAATTGTTCAAAAATATAAGCAAAGTGTTGCAAGTAGATTTAGCACAGCTGCTATAGTGAGATATCAATTTCCTCTTATTCTTGGCTGGGCCCTTACTGTTCATAAAGTTCAAGGGATGACCTTAGATAAAGCTTATGTTCTCATGAACGACAGCTTTTTTGCTAGTGGTCAAGCATATGTTGCTCTCAGCCGAGTGCGAAGTCTCGAAAATCTTCATCTCTTAGCATTTGATAAAAGGGTGATATTTTTGTCAGAGCGACAAAAGCAGCTGCTTGAATGGATGACATCTGTTGACTCAGTACCTGTAAATGGTAATAGGCCTTTGCCAAAGCTACATGAGCAAACAAAATTGAACATTGGTTGCAAGGAAGATGTTGCTTTTGTAGAGACAGTTGCTCAAACAGCCATTTCAGAAAGTAATGTACCTATTAGTACATGTAAGCATAGAGAAATCGATTCTACCAAAAACATAAGTTCAAATTTGATCAATTCACAAAGGTGTAGGAGTTTAATTGAATGCTTGATATATGATCAAGGTGAACATGTTACTGAGGTTGAAAGGATTTTGCTTGACAATGCTCAACTTCTTCAAGATGCCATTTCTCACCTCAGATCTATTGATCCAGTTACATTTCAATCGAGCAAAAATTCAGTGGACCATGCTGCAGAGAGATCTCTTCATCCAGTGGTTGTGATACATATGACACCAGTTAGAACTCCAAGTGATGGCAATTGTATGTGGCATGCTATTTCACAAGCATTAGTGCATACTACTGAGTATATGGAATTTCTACGATTGGTGACTGTGTTCACTTTTATCCAAAACAAGCATTATTTTCAAAACTTGATTGATGAACAGCACTTTGCCACCACTACTTTTGAAGACATTGTAGTTGATGCCTTAACTTTGGGAAGTTGGGGTAATGAATATCATTTGCATGCCATGTGTTTAGCTTTGAACCGACCTATTCATAACTTTACGTCTTTCATAATATCTGACGGTTATATGCCAGATGAAATGAATGTAATCAATAGTCTTGATGAGCTCATACTTGCATTTGAAAGAAATGAACGAGGAACTCGGCAGCACATTTTGTACATGCCAAACCACACAATAACCAATTCGAGAACTCCACTGAGATTATTTCTTTCCTCTAGTCACTATAGAGCATTAATACCTAAAGTGCAGGGTGTGCTTTTGCCAGTACCATACAAAAATGTATTTGAAAGGCAATCAAATTATAGCCTTTTGAATGACTTCTTCAATGACTACAGTCAGGATGCTGGTTTATTAGACTTTGAAGGTTGAAAAGGCATCATGGCTCTGTATTAATGCTCAAAGTATTACAAATTCACCTGTATTTGGGCATTATAAGGATGCTGATTTATTATCTTGATGGTTAGAGAAGGCATCTCAGTACTTTTGTATAAATGCTGAAAGCAAACACCAGTGTAGTGTGATTATAGGCAATATTATGCTATGAAAAGGATGCTGATTTATTAAACCTAATGCTGAAAGCAAACACCTGTACTGTGATTGTAGGCATGGTTCTATGAAAATTAGGATGCTGATTATTTTATTAGCCTTGATGGTTAAAGAAGGCATCATTAAATTTGTATTGTTAATGCTGAAAGCAAACACCTGTAGTGTGATTGTAGGCATTTACATTTACAATGCTGGCCTTGAATGCTATTAATTCATCATGGCAACTCTAAATCACAATAATAATAACACTAAGAAAGCTTGCTTAGCACCTATTCAAGCTGCTTTTAGAGCTGATGATTTGCATGAGGCAAAGTTGTAGCTGCAGTTGATAAGTATAACCACATGGCATTACAATTTGCTAACAATACTGAATACTGAAAGTTGTTGATAACATTTATCTGAAAGGTAAGTTAATTCATGAAATAATTTTTAATAACACTTTTATAAAATAATTTTGTTGCAATCTCAAGTTAGGGTTTCTCAGAGCATGATGATTGGTTAGTGCATTGCAAAATTGTTGAAATGAAAGAATATAGCTAACAGGGATAGCTATTCCATAGTTGATTTAGCAATGGAAATAATCTATTACCCAAAGCAGCACTGACTTTAAGTTTCCTGCAAAATCTAAAGCTGACCATTGCCATATTTTCTTTCACTTTTACAATGAACACAATTTGTCAAATTGAATGAAGAATTAAAATTTCCTTATGAATTATTAATGAATTTGTTAACCTTAGATAATGACCTGTTTTATAACAGAGTTCAATTTGGAGACATTGACAAAAAATGACAAAATTAAGTAGCTGTTTCGTATATTTAACAAACATGCTCATGTTTCCCTTAATTTTTGTTTTCAGCAGTTGAAATGCTGCAAGAACATTTATTAGCAAAATCTGGTTTACAAAACTTAACAAGAAGAACATCTTGAATTTCAGTTCATAAAGATGTACACCATGTAATGTTTGGTAAATATAAGAATGTTATCATATATTAAATACTTTGTATATCACTATATCTTATCATGATAGAGTGCTTACATTGTAATTTTGCAGTAAANTCAAGTTCATGAAGATAATTATTGGTAAGATATAGGAATGTGATCATGTCTGTGTATCACTATTATCATAACAGAGTGCTTCTAGCATAGTTAATAGACTGCAATGGTTTGAAACCTTTTGTTGTAATTCTCATGCATGTTTCCTTTTCTTTTATTTCAGCTGCTGAAATGTGCCAATGCAAAAACATTTATTAGCAACATCTGGTTTACAAAACTTAAAAAGAAGAACATCTCGAATTTCAGTTCATAAAGATGTACACCATGTAATGTTTGGTTATTATGAAATTTTTGATATATAACGCGCGCTCTGATTGGCAGACGACCGTGTTTATATCAGAGGACAGAGACACGGCTTATCAGAAAAATTTTCTTTTCGATCGAAACATTTTATAAAAGAAATATAAAACGGCAGCTTGTGTCTCTGTCCTCTGATATAAACACGGTGGGAGTTGAAAAACACTCGAGAAGCAAGAGAAACACTCGCTATACGCTTGTGTTCCTAAGCTTGCTTCTCTCGTGTTTATATTTCTTAAATATAAGAATGTAATCATATATTAAATACTTTGTATATCACTATATCTTATCATGTTTTATTTCGAATGAAAAAAAGCTGCTGTTTCATTTTTTATATCAAAATATATTCCTTAGTTTCCTATTTTTTTTTTATTTCAGCAGCCAAAATGTGGCAAGATTTGCAAAATCTGGTTTACAGAACTTAAAAAGAAACTCCACCTCTAATTTAAGTCCATAAAGATGTAATACTCCAGTCATGAGATCTTATTTGTACAGTCTTAACTTGAAAACATGCAATATATTCTTTTATTCAGCAGAGAACCTACAGTAATGCAAAAATTCTGTGTATAAAGAAGACAATATTAAACAACTTATGCTTGATTGAAGCTAAGCTTCCACAAAAGAGAATTCGAAACTGGACTATTCTCAAGAAATATAATGTAATCATACATTGACAAATACTTTGTGTATCACTATGCTATCATAGAGTGATCACATTAAAGCGTGCAACTGTACAACTGTACATAGGCAAGGCGAAGGAACCATTGAAACATTGAGAAAACTGCATTTTTATTCGACGAAAGTATAGATTCTCAATACTACGCACGCTAAAATTAACATATCCCACGTGAAAACAACAATCAGTTGAATAATATAATACAGTTTGTACTTGACTGTAAGGAGTTTATTTAAAAGTTTCTCTTGCCTAAGATCATCAAAATAGTTATGTTTTGAAAAGATTATGTTATGAAAAGGTTTTTCCTCAAACATATGGAGTTTTTTTAAGCCAAACGAAGGCATTTTGTTCAAAGTCAACTTGCAAAGCAACGGCCGCTGTCGCTGTGGAAAACTACTTGAACGTTTTCAACATTACAATTGCTAAAAACTGACTGCAAGGCATTCAAGGGGACAACTCCTCCAGTTACAGACAAGTTGGTGGCTTGCTGAACTGAAGTGGTGACAGTAGACGGTTTGAGTTGGAAACCAGATTTCTAGAGAGGACTTCGCTGCAGTTGTGTAGCTGTGCAGTTGAAGGTCGTGTGTTGTAGTGTGCCAAACTCTGCTCATTTCTGTGCCCCGATAATGTGTCGATTGGGAACACCTGCATTAGACCACAAGGTTATTGCGGTAGCTCTCACTGAGTGATTGGTGAAAGCTTCGATAAACCTGCCATTTCGCTTATGGTTTTCATCATGTTGTCGAGTTTGTTGACACCGATAGGTTTCGCGTCAAACCACACTTCATCACATGGGTGCCAGGTTTTTCTGGGATACTGGAAAAATGCTTCGCATTTTGGGTTCAACTTGGACATATAGAGATGGAGGGCTTTATAGCCGTCGTTTTCAGACTCTGACTCGTACATTCTGGCATACTTTTCGGAACTTTCACTTGTGTCAGAGAGTCCACCTTGATGGTTCAGCGTAAAATCGCCTCAAATTCTGGTCCAGTTGGCCTATATTCATGCTTTCAAGTGGAGTTTGTATTTTCTTATGTTTGCACCAATCTACGAAATTAAAGTTTAAGGACAAAAGCTTAAATTACCGTTTATATTTAAGGTAAATGTTTGTTATTGTTGTAATTGTCTGTAGCAATTTGTCTTTTGTTTACATATGTTTTTGAAATATAATATAAGGCTTTTTTGAGTTTCCGTAGCATAATA